AGAAATTCTAAATTATTATTTGTCATCATGTTGTTAACTGTATAACCATTCCAGAGTCAGCACTAATGCAACTGAATTAACTGGATCTTTAGTCACTGATCATAAAGTAGAGCACAGTACATTCTGGAAATGTATTAGAGGCGTATTTTTGTATGCAGTACCTGAGGCTATCATGTGGCTTATATCGTCTATTAACACTTATAACATTAACCAGAATAGGACTGGTATTTTGTTCTACTCTCCCATAAACTGAGTTTTTTGCCATTTGACTCTTTAATGATAAACCATCCATATTATAGACATAATGCATTCTCATAGCCAGAGCCGACCTGAGCAGGGTGCAGGGCCTGGGGCAAATCAGCCCATGCAGGACTCTGCCCCCACTCCAATCCCATGCATCCCGGACCCAAAGAAGCTGCTGCCACCATCAGCAGTGGTGGCGGCAGCAGTGGGGGGTGGGGCGGTGCCAAGCAGCTGAACGTGAAGCCAGCAGTAGCAGTGCAGAATCACTGCACTGCTCCATCCAGCTCCACAGGGCCCAGGGTGGTTGCCCCGATTTTCCCCCCACTCCCTCCCCAGGGATGGCCCTGCTCATAGAACTGGGCTATTTAGGCTTTTATACATGTGATCTGGAAATGGGGGGAGAAAGGGGGGAGGGTGCTTCAAGACCCACTCTAATTAAAGTATCTGGAGTGTCTCATGTATTTCATAGATTTCATAGAGTTCATAGACATTAGGGCTGGAAGGGACCTCAGAAGATCATCGAGTTCATCCCCCTGCCCAAGGGACAGGAAGTCAGCTGGGGTCATAGGATCCCAGCAAGATAAGCATACAAATTTCTCCTGAAGGCATTCAATGTAGGTGCTTGAACCACCTCTGATGGCAGGCTATTCCAGACCTTGGGGGCTCAGATAGTAAAGAAATTCTTCCTTATGTCCATCCTGAAATGGTCTTGCAGGAGTTTATAACCGCTCGACCTTGTCATCCCTTGGGGCGCTCTGGTGAACAATCGTCCCCCCAGATCCTGGTGAACACCCCTGATAAACATATAGGTGGCCATCAGATCGCCCCTAAGCCTGCGCTTTTCCAGGCTAATTATGTATCGGTGTCCCCACACTTCAAAATGGTGGCAGGGGCACTTTTTCTAAAGCTGGTCAAACGAGCTTTAGATAACGCACCCCCGCCACCATTTTGAAGTGCAGGGACACTGATACACGAGATGCGGGAGACTACTGGAGCACATTAGTTGCCATGCTCCAGCAGACTTGATTAATTACACTTACAGCCCTGAGTTAGAGCCCATCAGAGCAACCTCCTTGCTCATGTATAGTCACTCTTTAATAATATTCATTAACAGTTCACCTAAAGGCAATAGGACTTTACCACTCAATGAAACATCCCAACACTAGTTCACTCCCATGTTCACTGGCAACATTCATTCAAACAGGTCCACAAGAACATCTACTCCAGCTCCTCTGGCACAGCTACAAAAAACTAAATAAAGAACTTTATTTCCTCATAGTTCAGCTGCTATGACAAATTCTGCTTGTTGACATGCCAGTATAAAATTAGAGAATTCTGCAGAAGTTGGTCACGTGTTCATGAGAAAAGAATTTAGCCCAATGGGTATTAATGGCTAGAAAATGATATTCAGAGGTTTGCTTTTAGAAATTGGCTTGTACGTAAAGTAGATATACTTTACAATAAGGTCCACGGGAATGGCAATGGTTTATTAGTTTCTAAAAGCCTGTTTTTGATACAGTTTCCTTCAAGACCCACTGTCTGAAGCCAGCAGACACACAGGCCAGGAAGTTGAAGACATGTACCACACTGTTTCATAACATGAGATAAGGTAGCATTAGGTCACAGTGCCCAACTGCAGAGCCCTTGGGCTTTCTGGTTTTGGTGGACAGACCAAATTAGGAGACCGGTAAATAACCAAATTAAGATGTGTGCATGTGATGGGTTTGGGAAACAAAGGAATATGCTAACAGGACAGAATATGGACAGTATGGTGACCACAGGGAAATCAATTAATGACCCCCAGGAATGAAGAGTCATCAAAGGGGAGAAAGAATACAAAAGAAGGGATTTCAGAGAAGCAAGAGGGGAACCTGAGGCCACCATGGACAGAGGGCATACCACCAGCTCATCTCACCAACCCCCCCTAGGGGGTAGTGGACCTCTTCCCTCAACTTCCAGGCTGCTGACATCTGACATTAAGGAAGAACCACAGGGTGAAGCTCGCATACTGCTCAGATGTACCTTCCCTCTGTGACAGTCCTAGGAGTGGTAAATATAGAATTATTTGCCTTGCCTGCATTATTCTTATCTACTATCATTGTGTAGCAATGAAATCCACCGATTATCGAATGGAGAAGTCATGGTTGGTCTGAGGGTTTGGGTCCACCCAGAACAAGGTATCTGGGTCATAAATCCATTGCCAACAGGTATGTAGTGGTATCCATAGCTAAAACCATATATGCAGAATTTGGCTCACTGTCAGTATGTATTCACATGCATAAGCGGAACAGCATTTATGGCGGCAGCACATACAAGCTTGAGTACGCAAACTACGTCTAATAAGGTTCTAGCAAAAGGTTTATTTACCTGTCAAAATGCCCAGGAAAATAATAGTCTCATTTTATGTAACCTTTAAGACAGTGTTACTACCCCTGCTAAAGTGATTGAATAATGACATAACTTATCAATCAATAATTTATATACCAATTGATGGCAAAAGTTATTAAAATTATTCATGAACAATATTCAAATAATTGCAGTTGGCCAGATCCTTACCTAAGGAAACATGCTAAGATGTAGATTTATACCAACTGCAAATCTGGCCCCAAATGTGTGATGTCTCTTTTACATTTTAGAGTTTTAATTTCAGAATGCCATAAAATGGTCTCAAGGAAGGGTGTTCAGACAGAGATACAGTTTTCAAGGGCAGGAGGGTGTATTGTATGTGCACACAATGTGAAGAGATTTCCTGGAAGTTAATTTGTATGTGTGCTAAGAAGCATGACATGGGTCATTTGCTTAAAGAAGAAAAGTACAATTTGGCTGATGGTTCCAAAAATCCATTCTACTCCCTACTACCTGAGATAAACAGGTAGCTTTTCTGGAAGAGGTAGACGAGGGGGGGAAAGTGAGACATAATTTTATACAGAAGTTAAGGCCTTGTTCTTTTTTAATAGAAGAAAAGTTTCTAAACCTTATAGTTTCACAGTTAAACTTCTGAATGTAAACTGTGTTTTCTCCCTGAGTGCAGAAAGACAGCTTCAGTAACTTTGCTACTGTCTATGACTTTGCTAAAAAGCAGCAAAGTGAAATTGTCAAGTCTCCAACATATTAAGAAGCCTGTGGGAAGCAGTGACATTGACAAGAATCATGTAAATTTCAACCTACAGAGCTTGAGAAATCTACGAGCTAGTGCAGAGGCAGTTACTGGTACTGCTACTATTCAAGAATGAAGAAGACCCAGTAAACTGAGGCTAAGAATGAGCAGTGGTACTTTTAAACCCTCCCAGAAACCAAGATGTTGAGTGAAGGCTACAGGAGCCAAGGAAAGATCTGGGGATAATAAATCCAGTAGTTTTAGGACTAAGTTTCTTATGAGGATGTCCACCATGACCATATCTCGTTGGCTTTTCTCAGTACCTGTATTTACTCACATAGAACACACACCTTTTCCCTAAAAATTAGCCTTCCAAAGTTGAGGTGCATGTCTAAAGCAGTTCAAAACCAACTGCCCAGCAACCACACTAGCATTTCTATCCAGGCAGTGCATGAAGTACTTATTTGACTACATGGATCATTAGAATTTATCTGACACCCTATAACTGCTCTTCATTTGATCCTCTCCTTTTAAATAGTCTTGATGTTCCACTAATCAAGCTAACCTTCCTTTGGTAATTTTGCTTTTTTTTAGCTACTCCTGTGCTCTCTTCTATTTTACAGCCCTGCAGGCTGTTGGTTTTATCTTTCAAAATTGTAGGTCCATCCATGGAATCCAGTTTCAACAGTAGCTACAGTTCCAATTTTTGGCTGATCAGCCAAAAGCTGCTAACAATTCAGCTATGAAAGGGGTAAAACTAGCTTTTGCTTGAGCGGATAAAGGAATATGAGTGAACTGCAAATGAGTCTCTCCCTGATCTATGAAGCCATAACTCTGGAAAAAAAAATTTCACCCTGCCTTGCCCAAAACAAGGTGTCTCTCTTATTTGGGGTGGAAGAGGGAAGGTGTAAGAGAAAATATACTGCTCATATTGTGTCTGACTGCTGATTTCAGTCCTGTGTCAAGATTTCTGATAGGGCTGACAATAAACAGAGGAAAGGATATGTAAGTGAAAAAAACCCTGTTCCTACAAAACACTTACCACCTATGCAGGAGCCTTTCAGCCCCTTCCTTCCCCCCACCCCCCAACCAAAGAACTAGTTGTCTCTGGCTGGAACAGTTATGCAGACTCTGAAGGAAGTTCCAATCTTATTAAGACAACAGAACATACAGGCTAATGACAAAAGTTACATATAAACTGGTAAAGTGATCAGAAGCTGTAACAGAACAGAAGCTCAGCGCACATAAACCAGTTTCAAAATGGCTGAAACTGGTTTAAGATAAACCTGGTTGAATGTAGTTATCAGACTTAACTGATTTGGGTCAATCAGGTTTATGAAACTTCTGCCCCAAACCCTTTCTGGGTTCAAATTAAATCAGAGTCCCACAGCATCCCAGCATGTTTTGCAGCCCTGGTCTGGGCTGTGCTGTCGATTCCAGAGAGCAGGACTGGCCCTGCCCCTCTGCTCCCTAGCTGGAGCAGTGAGGGCTGGCTAATGCGGGGGGTGGTGGGGCAGCAAGCCTGGCTGGGGGGGCAGCAAGCCTGGCTGGGGATGCAGCCCAGTCTGGGGGGGGACTGCCTGCCTCCACAGGCAAACCCCAGCTGGGGTCTGGAGCCAGGGAGGGGGGGTTAAACACCCCTTCCCCCACTAAAACTTACTGCTGGCTGCAACTGTGGACTACAAATCTCAGAGGCACCTAGAAGCAGGAAGAGGAAGTGATAAGCAACCCTGTGGAGTCCTGCTATTGTGATTTGGACTACAAATCCCAGAGACCTTGAGGGCAGCAGGAAAAAGAAGTGAACACATACTCCATGCTTGCTATGTGCCAGAGAGCCGTGTTCTAGTGCCCCCTGGCTTCTGGCCAGAGCCACTGCAGACATGTGGCTACATTTCCTGAATCAAAGGTCTGTTCACTTCTGTTTCAATTTAATCTATGCAGCTTAGACTAACCTGTAAATACTGAATCAATTTAGACTCGGGCTTTTTGACTGTCTATATTTAGCCACAATGTAGGAATCAGAAGTGGCTAAGGAAGGCAGAGGTCTTACCTTGTGGAAGAGTGAAGATCCCTTTGGCAACAGTCTGTATTGATGATTGTACTGTGACAATTGTTAGGAGACCAGGGCCCTGATTCAACTCAATCACTAGAAGGACTTCAATGGGTATTAAATTGGATAGTAACAATTGGTAAAACTGAAGACATCCTCAGCTAATTTTTAAAATGTATCTAAAATCTCAAGGTCTGTTTAGGGATATGCTTGCTTCAGCTTGTTCACTTCCAGCAAGCAATAATTCTTCTTTTTGCAGGCGTCTTTCTTGATAATCTATCATTTTAACTAACACAATTCAGATGAAAGAAGATTGAGCATTTTCCAAGGCATGGTTTCAAAACAAGTTAAGTAGGCCATCTGAACGTACATAGTCTGGCAGAAGATTAGAGTCACATGGTTTATGTGCCTACACAAATCCAACATTAACAGGGGAGTTGGGAAAATTTTGCAGAAGTTATACAAAAACATTGGGTAAATTTGATACATTGATAAACAACAAAAGCATAATTTAAAAATACATGAGTTGTTTATTCAGTACAATTATAAGGAAGTCAAATAATCAATGGGAATTCCAAAGGAATTTAAAATCACTTGGTACTCCTTTTAGTGCCATGTTGAATCAATAAAAATATTTTCAGTTCATCTTTTCCAAATCTTGAGCCTGACCTAGTGCCTGATCCAAAGGCAACTGAAATCATTGGAAACATTCCTATAGATTTTAGTGGACTTTACATCAGACTCTTGTAGAAGGGAACAACATTTCGTATAGGTGTAAGAGAATTCCCATTCTAAAGCAAGAGCTAGATGACATTTGAGACACATGGATATAATACATTTTTAAAGGAATCCTGCTCTTATAACTGTCAACGTTGTTTAGTAGTGGGTTGTTTTTGAGTGTCTGAGTGAGCTCACAGGGAAAGTAAAAACCCAGAGGAGAATTATTGTCTGCCCCCCAATACAATATTGGGTTGTCATGTTTGCTGCACTATGTTGCTGCTAATGCCTACCAAAGTGAACACACTGATTTAGAGAAACCAATTATCTAAAACAGTTTTCTAAATTATGCTTGAAATTAATTGACATCTATAGTACAGTGTTTGTTTAGTTTCCATATGGGGAAAAAAGTTTGAAGTGATATGGAGATGTATTATACTTCAAAGAAATGCTAACCTTTTTTCCACAGTAATATTTAATTTGTTATTACAGTTACTTTTGGTAAATGGCTTCATGTAACATTTTCTCAGCTGCTTTCAAATAAGCTACTTATCTGTATCATGTTAGGATGCAGTATTGGCATTTAGAGTAAGAATAAAAAACCTCATTATCTCAACAATGAACTACAATAGCTACAATTTGTCTTATTCATCTGTCTTAGAAAGGGAAAAAAGAGCTCTACTTTTTAGGACTGCTATAGGACCAACTGTGAACAGATCCAGGATTATGAAAGGGAGGGCTGGTGATGTAGTTCATCATTGAATAGTACAATACATATTTTTCCTCTAGATTCATAGATTCATAGATATTAGGGTCGGAAGGGACCTCAATAGATCATCGAGTCCGACCCCCTGCATAGGCA